GAGAGAGAGAGAGAGGATATGCAATCCAATACAAATTCTTCAATGTATGGGGTTAAACTCGTTAATTGTGAGGTCTCTAGGTTTGTTAATTTCCAGGTGGTACCAAACACAGGTTTCCGTGCTCCTAAATTTCCTAAATTTCAGACATTTACCATACACAATATTTTCCAATACAAGGAGCAATATCCTCCAGGTGCATAAGGAGAAGGAACTTCCAAGTTCTAGAAAACAACCAGCTTCTAGTTGCCAAATAGGCCCTAAGACAATTTCTACCGTTGTTTTGGTCAGTTTTTTGCTTAGACAAAACATTGGTTTGGAGTACAAGAATTTGTCAAACATGTTTTTGCTGAGAAAACAGTCTAGTTTAGTCATTGTGCCTATGTATTTTCCTCAAGCCCATGGGGCTCCATTTCATCATCAATCAATTTGTGGTTTTTACTCTACATTTTTTGATAATCGACTAAGATTTAGCAATGGAGTATGTTCTCAAATGGAGGGATGGAGGGAGGGAGGGGGTTTGGGGTTGGCAAGGGTAAGGGAATTCAATCATTGTATCAATGCACTTGTCTTTGCAAGCCTATTTTTTCATCTGATTAGCCCCACTATAACTATGGCAAAAGAAAATTTCAGGAGGTCATGAAGATGGCTTCCTTCCATCGAGTTCGCAATGCATCATAGGTAAAATACCAAATCTTATGAGAGTATCTCTTGATAGTTAATGGCCTTGAGAATTACTGAAGAGTTCTCACTCCCGTCAGAAAATCCATAACATCTGTAGTATTCACATCACAAATCCTCCAAGCTGGACTGTGAAATAACCACAGCACTTTACCTCATGATCTCTAAATGCACCCCCAAACCATTTGGGGCTAGGGTTGCCTTGATAGCCATCACCAAAATTCAGTTCCAGAACATTAAGTAGTGCTGTGCTGGAAATACCAATAATGGATGAGGTCTACTCTTTACAGTTTTGATGAATTCTTTTATGTTCTTCTACTGGAGGGTAATGGAGAGTGATCTGGTAACTCTCTTGAGGCAGGTTGAGTGGGGTGATCCACCCCCAATTTGTTGGATGATGCTATCAATTTTTATTGAGGTTTTCATGAGATGTGTTTTACTTGGTTCTTATTTCTTTGATAAGGTGTTTGATTGGGGATTTTAATACAGGATATAGACATGGAGATAGCAGAAGAGTTATGTGGAGTTCTAGAGTTTGCATTGGCCTATTTGGGGCTTCCATTGTATATTGGGTAACGAGGCACCATCTTTGGGAACTGGTTATATAAAAAGCTCAAAGCTGGATTGGATCATGGAAAGGAAGCTCTTCTCATTTGGTGGCAGTTTGATCTTGATTAAGCTTTGCTTGATTGATTTTCGTATACATTTCATATTTCTTTGAATAGTACTAGTGTATGTCATCAAACATTTAAGGGCACATTTGACAACAGGAAGCTAGAGATTCCTGGGAAGCTGGAGGTTTTGCTCTGTGGAAGCTTGAAAATTTAATATCTGGAAGTTTTGGTACCCTTGTTTGATAACTTTCTGGAAGTTCTAGGAAGTCGGATGCCTTATTTTGATAAACTTAGTTGTAAACCTAGAGATCTGACAATTAACAAGTTTACTTGTTAATTGAAAATTTCACTAATGAGAGGGTGATATTTGTTCAATGGAGGAGATTTTTGAGTTATAGCTCATCCATGGTAGGTCTAACAAAATGGATGGGCCATATCACAAATAGATTAAAGAAAAAGTGCTATACTCAAAGATTATGATCTTTAGAGTGGGCTCACTAAATTCCATATATATGTGCTCTTCAAGTGTCTTTCGTATACAACTCATAGTTATTGGGATATTCTAAATAGGGCTGGCAATGGGCCAAAGTGGCCCTAGGCCCAGGCTCGAACTTGGCCCTATCAGGTTTGGGCTGCGCTGGGCCAAATAAATTAAAATGTAGAACAAAAACATAGAAAAAAAGGGCCGGGCCAGACCGGGCCGAAAGGGCTGGTTTTGGCCTAGGGCGGCCCACCCGACCCTTAGGTCATGGTTGCCCAGCCTCGGGCCACACTTTGTGGCCCATGCCCTTGTTTTTGAGGGCCTAGCTGGCTGGGCCGGGCCACCCCTACTTCTTAGGAGGGAGTTCCGTCCTCTCCGGGAGCTCAATCCCACACTTTGAGAAATGGGGTCTCGTTTCTGGCTGTTTCCCTAATTTGGGGATCTTGATCCAGAAATCGAGGAACTAGATCCCAAGTTAATGGAATCCAGATCCCTATGCCGAACATCATGGTTTCACCATCTTGGAATCAAGTATCTTTTATTTTGGGAGCGGGTTTTGCCATTACATTTTTAGGTTCATCTACAATGGATCATGGATCTCCAATTTTTTATGCTTTGCAAACTTTCTAAAGACCTTGATTTCCTTTATTATTTACACTTTAAAATTTTACACACATTGTGAACCATGACTTGTGGCTAATTTGAAAGAAAGGCAACAAGAAAGGATAGGGAGAGAGAAGGAAGAAGATGGAAGGAGACAAAAAATATGGTTGAGTTGCTGTCCTAATTGAGGAATGAGGCAGTGATCAATGGGCTTAACTTCCTTTCGGGGCTAGTTCATTAGCTCCTATCTAACTCTCGAAGGACTTCTATCGCTTGAGTGTTGGTCACGCAAATTTAGCCACTCATAAGTTTACCTTTGGGTGATGAAATAATATATAAGCTTGGAAATGTGGGATCTCTTTCATCTTCCTTGAACCCCTAGCAGTCTTTGACGGAAGAGTGCTATTGAGAACTATATATGGCAATGTCTTTCAAATTTTTTTTTTTCTTTCAAAAGAAAGCTTGTCTTTTTTTTGAGAATGAAAAGGAAAGCTTATCTATTGCAGCATTTATTTTTTTGAAACAATCTGTCGCAACATTCTTAAGTATAATCATCAAACGATAGTCTAGGGGAATCGTCCAGTCCAACTGATTGGTGCCAAAAATGAGGTCATGTGTGTATGTAAGCAGACCAATGTAGGTAGGTGTGCAACTTTTTAGTGGACCGCATGAGTAAGTTTTTGGAGTGAACTTGCTTAAATAATTCGACCTAGAATATAATGGATAAATGATCTTTGGAAGCCTCTATCCTAAGCTCGATGGAATGGCACGAGTAGGGTTAAAAACAGATGTGAACTTTGGAAGTTCGTACTTCAGGGGGTGGGTTAGAATGTTCAGCTCCTCACTTTTTAAGGAGCTTGGATTTCCAACTAACAGTTTCACTGTAAAACTCCTTGGTACCAAATTAGGAATTGCTACAGTAACTGGAACTTCCAGCTTCGGGGGCTGCAAGTTCCAGTTACCAAACGTGCTGTAAACCAACTTCAGAGGTATCCAAGTTCTTAGAGATCACAAGCTGAGCATATTCCTTTGGTCCACTGTTGGGGTTTGGCTTGTTGTAAGTTTGGCTCTGGTGGTTTAGTGCTGATGAGGATTGGGAGAAATTTATTTTGATTAAAAAGCTTATCAGAGAGGCTCTGAGGTCTAGGAAGATATGTGCTTGAGTCCGAGTTATTTTGTGTGTATGCACGTCATTTAGAAACTTTAATGATTAAAAAGGGGCCATGGCTTGGTGGAGATGGTATAGGTGTAAAAGATGTTGCAGAAATAGTCTCTTGTGGGATCACTTTGGAGCTTGATTTCAACTCCAAACAAAAGCTGAATTCGGATGGCTTGTGGTGCCACCATTGTGATGAGGGACATTCTAAGTGTTCTGATTTGTGCTGGGTCTTTGGAGTGGTGCAAACTGACCTCCAAGCATTACTGGTTACAATCCTTTCCTTATTTAGGAAGTGCTTCGGAACTGTGTATTCTTGGGCAAACTACCAAATGTTATTTAATGACTCTGGGATTCTTGAAGAGCTACCGGTTTTTTCATTTGCGTATGTTTTTGTCTTTTTGGTGGTATGTAGGTCATTTTTTTTTGTACATGTACATGGGAATGTTGAGAAAGGATTTGCTAGTCAACAAGCTAGGTCCATAGTGTTTTATGCAACTGTTAAGTTTGTTGTGGCTGACATTTTGTTTTTTCTAGTGAAACCATGGGCAAAACAAATATAATAGTAGAACTTTTAGAACTTTCTATTAAATGATTCAATGTCTTCCACGTTTGCAAGATATTTTTTTTAGCATATCCTCTTATTAATGACAACTGAGAGCTTCCATGAATCCTTGCTGCAAACATTTACTCTTTCTCTGAGAAGTGGATGGTATCTAGATTGTCTTTGAACTTAGTTTTTCTACTTTATATAGTTTTCATTCTGTTGGAAATTTGCTGAAGATGAGATGACCTGTAAATGTTTTCTGTCTCAGAAACTAAGAATCAGTGGGCACGGGATGATCCTGCATTTATTGTTATTCTCAGTCTTCTCTTGATTGTGGCGACTTCTGCTTATTGTGCTGCGTAAGAACATGCTCTGATTGTTTTTATTAATTTATAATTTGATATGGTTTGTGGGAGCATTGTAATATTCTTGTAAAGTATAATAAAAGTAAATAGAATAACTGGAGGAAAAATAGCCTTCTGAATGTGTTTAGTTCAGATGTTCCTTTTTTGGTTCTTTTTTGTATTTTTTCCATTTGAGATAAAATTCGTTGCTCTACTAAACTATATTGCAATAGTAGTCCATTTGTATCTGTTGAAAAAACATATTGAACTTGAAGCCGTCGATTTTGAAACCATTTGACTTAGTAATCTTTTTTCTCTTTATTTCAGATATGACAAGACTATTACACATGCGATTTTTACAGTTATATCTGTGGTGCTTTTCCATTTTATAATTATTGGAGCAATTCTGGCTACATGCTGCTGGTAAGGACTTTTGGATAGGATTTTCAAAATTCAGTAATTCCACTTTCCGTGGAACCAAGTCAAATAATCCCTTTTGGATAGGATTATTTACAAATTTTTACATAGCTGTGGTTCATGAACTTATTTTCCTTATTGGCACATGTAAATACTAATCTAGTTTGGTGTATCCTTAAAGATGGTTATGGCGACTGCTGTTTTTGGGGGGATGATGTTTACCAGTTTCTACTTATTAATCTATTCTAGTGTACTTGCTTAGATATATTTATCAGCTACAAGAAAGATGGCATCTTGATTAGATATTTTAGTTTTGATTTTAGATGCTCCTATTTATTTTCCTCTTCAAGTTTTTTTTTTGGGGTTTCCTGGATTTTCAATCATTGATGGATTTTGGGAGTTGTCTGATATGGAGTTTGTTGCATAGCTATTTAAAGGGAAAGAGTTTCCTCCTTGGATATTGAATTGGGGTTTATTTTATTTTATTTGGGACCCATCTGACGATCTTTTAGAGCCTTGATGTTTAGTTCCCATTGAACATTCCCCTCTTGAAGGAGTTGATGTAAAGTCAAATCTTTTCAAAAGATGGATTAGGCTTTGAGACTTCAAGAATTGTCTGCTGGCTGTAGAGAAGGTGGTTCCTTGAATTGGACCGTATCGACCTGCATAGAGGAGGATGTTTCCCTTGGGAGTTTTGCTCTTTCTAGCGAGGAATCTTGGCATTTGAGACTTTAGTGAGTTTTATGCACCTTCTTTAGGAGGTCAGCTTCTTTCCTTGTAAAGCCTATTGTGAGAATGTAGTAACGGTAGACTTGAAGAACTTGGGCTCTTTTTGAGACTTTATTTATTGATCATCCTCACCCTTTGGAAGTCAAAGACCTGTTCCGTACTTCCAGTTTTGAGGGATCTTGATTCTTTTGGACACCCTTATATAAAAAATAGGAGGACAGGGTCCATTAATCACTAGACTTGAAGAACTTGGGTCCTTTTTGAGACTTTATTTGTAGATCATCCTCACCCTTTGGAAGTCAAAGACCTGTTCCGAACTTCCAGTTTTGAGGGATCTTGATTCTTTTGGACACCCTTATATAAAAAATAGGAGGACAGGGTCCATGAATCACTAGACTTGAAGAACTTGGGTCCTTTTTGAGACTTTATTTGTAGATCATCCTCACCCTTTGGAAGTCAAAGACCTGTTCCGAACTTCCAGTTTTGAGGGATCTTGATTCTTTTGGACACCCTTAGATAAAAAATACGAGGACAGGGTTCATCATAGCATTGTGTCTTCCCTGTCAGTAGGGGCCTTATCACTCTTAAACCTCTTCTGTCAGCTTTGTATCCGAAAGGTATGGTCACTGGTTTTTGGATCCCTTGGCCATGCTCTTCAAGTCTCTGTCCCAGTTTGTGTCCCATGACAACAAGGTTATTCCATGCAGCTGATAATTTTTTTTACTTTTATTTTTCAATGTTTTGGTTGCATCCTTTCTTGTTAATCTCCTTGGAATGTGAATTTCTTGCTGTGGAAGCATCCAGACCTTTTAAAATTTTTAATTTTTGAGAGAGGTTTGCAACCTTCATAAACAAATTTTTTTGTCTTTTTTTTTTAATAAAATCAATTTCGATAATTTCGAGCTAATAGGCAAACTACTAATAAGTGAATTTCGAGTTTCAGGTGCATTAGGCTAGGTCCTTTTTTTTGGGGTTAACAATGTGAATTTTTTTGGGGTTAACAATGTGAAATTCGTGTAGGTTCTTGACAAACACCTATCTGCGAGAAGAGACCCCAAACAGCCATGCAGTGGAGCAAAGGGTTGAATGGTAAGTCCTCTGTCCTTTATATACTTACTAGCATTTATTGACCACTTTGCATAAATTCTATCATTTACACAGCAGTGCATAACTTTTCCTAGGACATAGAGGAGAAGGGTCTTGACGATCAACTGACATCTTTGATAACAGGCTTGGTTACCCTGAAAATGACTTGCATCATTGAAAAACCAAAGCATGAGCATTTAAGCATAAACCACACCCTTACAGTTGCAGTGTGGCTTGAAGAGCAATGACCTTGTCTGAAGTCTGAACTGCTTTTCGTAAATGTGAGACTTGTCTCTCAACACTGCTATGACATGCCATGAAGTTAAAATTTTAACATAGTCAACGTGGACCAATGCCCTTGTTCAAATTCTGGACACGTGTTTAAATTGAACATGCTTTTCTGAATGACCTAAGACAAGCAGAAACACTCCAACACATCTCTTTCGTACAGACTTGCCTTGTACAATATGGAATTCTTTAATTTGTTATGTGGGGCATGGCTTGTCTGTGTCACCCATAGTTACCCGAATCTCTCACTCAAGGTCACAATTTTGATTCGGAATCTCAATTCTACGAGTCCAACAAGGAATCTTCATGGAATCAGTTTATGTGAAGTCAGGAATCTCTATTCCTTATTTTAGGAATCTCAGTTCCAACACTTAATAGAATCTTGTTTTTACACAATTGTTGAATCTTAATTTTATATTTGTTGAATCTAGATTCCATGTATAATGATACTTAGTTCTATTGTTTCTGAACATCAAGTATTGCAGTTCGTAAATGCAAGAAACCACTAGCTAATCAAACATCGAATCTTGCTTCCACCCTCATTGAATCTTGATATGAATTTTTTGGAATTGTAATACCACAACCGAATATTGATGTTCTAGTTGCATATATCTGCGACTTATGGATTGGTTCAAGTATTTGTGGATTTTGAGTTGAGTTATTTGGAAACTGTACTGGAGACGATTGTCTCCCATAGTTTATATATGCTCCGAATAATGATCTGAAGAACGCATTGTTGAGATTGGTTTGGATCACGTTCCTAATATTGCTGGGATTTACTTTTTGTTAAAATATAATTGGTAAAGTTCTAGTTCAAAGTGGACTACAACACAAAGAACACCATGGCACCGACAAAATCCTATTTCAAAGTTACATTTAAAAATACATGAGGTAATATTTGTATCTTTTGTAGATAATTTCCCAAGTGGACAACAAGTGTCTATTAATTGACCGTAAATAGAGCAGAATTGCGGATCACGATTCATGTAGCCGTTCCCAATTATGTAGGAAAAGGCTATGATGATGATGACTTTTGATACTGTCTCTGAGGCTCAATAGCGAATGCATGGACTCTATATTTAGGGAAACCTTATTTAGGTCTTAGAGACCTTTGATCACGATTGCTTGATGAGCTTCTAAGTTAACGCGTGAGACATCGTTGATGTAGGATTCTTGATTCTAAAGGGGTTAAAAGCTCGAGACCCCGTAGAGTCACCATTCTCGATTGTCATGTGGGTCGAAATTCGATTCCAAACTGATATGAATTTCGATTCCAAACTGGTATGAATCTCAATTCCAAATACGTCAAAATCTTGTTTCCAAAGATATTGCAATCTTGATGCCATATATAAAGGATTTTTGATTCCATATGGGTCAATTTCAAATAGGTTAGAAACTCGATGCCAAAAAGGTCAGAATCTCTGTTCCATATATATATAGGGATCTCGATTCCATTTGGGTCGAATCTCGATTCCCATAAAGTAGGAATCTGATTTCTCGCGATTCCCCTTGTAAGGACATCGATTTTAAAAAGAAGAATCTTCTAGCCAGTTGCGGTTCCGTGATTCCGATTCCTAAAATGATTTGGAATCTCGGGCGTTTCCAACAACTATGGTGTCACCCATAGTTGTTTGTGTTGTTGCCCTTGTAAGATAGCTTTATTCATTATATACTCTGATCCATTTAATTAGGTCTAAGGCATAATTGTTTGAAGCGAGTTCATTCCAGGAGCTTTTTAGGAATCAAAAGCTTGGAATCGCAAGAGGCTAGAAGCTTCCTATCGGAGGACTGGTCATTTGTACAAAGCATATCTCGGGAATTGAGGTTCCTAGCTTTTGAGAATCGCTCTCCAACCACTTGGATCTACTTAAGTAATTATGAAGGAACAAGTTCCATAAGGCAAAAGATTTGGGGTTCTACAATATCCTTTCATAGTATTGGAATCAAGGTCTTCAACTGCATTAGACAAGGGTACCATTCGTACTAGAATTGATTATTTATTGAGTGTCCTTAATCACAGTACCGCACAAGTATCTGAATCAAGGTCATCTAGTGCTCTTAACTAGAGTTCCATAAGTATTGGAGTTTCAAAAAATTAAAATTATACGATTTATTATTAATGAAACTTTTAAAAATAAGACATTTATTTTGGGTTATGTACTTCAAGAATGATGTTAAGTAGATTTTCTAGACATCCTGATGTTCAGTAGTTTTAGACGCACATCCTCATTGAATAAAGAAAGTACTTGTAATAATTAATATCAAATTTTAATGAACACAATCTTTAAAATAATGTCTAAAAAACTTCCAAGCATTCATTAATATTTGAGCAATCTTTCTACTAGTAGGGTATAATGGAGTTATTATACTTTTTTGTAGTCATTCCACTACCATTATGGAATAATGAAGTTCACCTTGAACTTGAGACTTGTTAAAGAATGTTAGTGTGGTCCACTAGGGAGTTCTTGTATGGATTTCTAATAACTCAAACCGATATTCTTGAAAAGTGTTTGTGGGATTCCATGTTTATCAAATCAGTGTTTGGTACATCTACGAACCATGGCATTTGTTGCTGTGGAACCTGGACTCCAAATAACTCAGTTCGAGATTCCTAAAAGGGGGAAACGAGATTTCTAAATTTAGAGAGTTGGATCCTATGAAGATTTCATTGGTCAAAGCTCCAAAGCGAGATTCCGAAGTAGAAACGCCATCTAGGATGGAAGATTCCAATAATTGTGGTTTAAGGCCTCATAGAAAATATAATAGAGCTTGCAAGGTCCCTTCTTTATTGCAATAGCTATTGATCTTGTTTGAGAATGAGCAAGGCTAAAAGAAGTGACAAATCAAGACGCTCTTGAGCCTTTAAAGCAAAGCAAAGGATTTAGGGGTAGTATCTTTGTTTACACGCATTTTTGACGCACCACGACCCCATGAGAATAATAGAGGAGACGGTTGCAATTGTGGCTTTGGGGCACTAAATATGCCAACAAAGTTGTGGAAGCACGTGAGAGCTTCCTTCAAGACCCATTCGGGCTCCCAAAATAGCAGCGCCCCCACTTTTCTTTGGCAGGGGCCCTCCCAATAAAAAACCATGGTGCCCCCAAGCCTTTTCGGCCCCAGACCACCATGGAGCGTGCAATAAGGTCCATGTCTTGAAGCGCACTTTGATGACCTCATTTTGGCGCAAAAAAAGAGAGTACAAAGATGGGTCCTATTACCCTAAGACGCCCCCAAATTTCAGCTCAATCGGGCATTGCAGCAGGGAGAAGGAAGACAAGATGAAGGGGTGTCATACATGTATGGGTGGAGAAGGGAAAGATGGCCTCGGGACCGCTACCAATGAACTTAGAAGGCCGGAAAACCCCTAAACCCTAAATTTCGTGCCAAACGGGCTTTCCTAGGCCCTACTTTCCAAAAACAGGGGTGTTTTATATTGATCAAGATTTTGGAGTTCATAGCTATTACCAAAAATAGCAAAATCCCAGAACTCTCCCTCAAAATTGGGCAAACTTTCCGCCCTTGAATCTCACGATCCGCGAATCGGATCGAGCTGAAATTTGGATATCTTGCATATGATCGTCAATCAGATCGAGAGAAATCTTAGAGAAATCCGCAAGTTTTGATGCTTATGCAAAAATCAGTTTGTGCGACATCCTCTCGCTTCTTTGGCCATAACTCAACATCCGGTCATCATCTTAAGCTCAAAATTGGTGCTTTTCGATCGTGACTCGATGGGGATAAGAAAAGTCACGATTGGGGACCGGATTGGTGGTCCCGAGGCTTGCAAGTAGCCCAAAATCTGTATGTAGCAGAATTTTGGGTTTCTAGCAACTTGCCAGAGTCGTAACTTGGCCACTCGGGAGGCCTTTTGCTGTACGTTTTGGTGCGAAACAATCATGATGAGATCCCCTTTTGATTTGCAACCGGAAAATCACCAATAAACTCGGTGTTCTTGAAGAAATTGATCAAAGAGTGTTGGAGGCTTGCATGAAAACCCCAAAACTCAAAACAAGCAAGACGCTACCAAATCTTCAGGGTTTCGTGCAAAACGTATATCAAAATGATCGTGGTAGTGTGATCTACATTTTCCCGGTGATAGTTTACTTGTTTTAGCTTCAGAGAGTGCAAAAACAAGGCCCCATACCATGTAGTTGGGAAGAGGCCCTCCTTGAGGGACCTAATGGTCATTTTTGGACATAGTTAATATCCTTTTTCATCCATTTTTCTGTTACCTGAATTTATTTGTATTTTCTCTTTTTCTTTTCACCCAATTCTCCCAAGTATTGAGCATCCACCCATGTCTAAGTGGGAGATCTATATAAACCCGTATCACTTATATAAGGACTCTTTTGTCTCCTTGAAAGAGGAGAGAGAATTTTTTTGCATGAGAGCCCATACTCTTATCCAAATCTAACCTTAGTCTAACCACACCTTAGTTAGCCTAACCCAACCCTAACAGGTTATCAAACCCCTAATCTTAATACCCCAAACCCTGTTGGTACGTGTGAGTGGCCATGGGGCCTCACATGTGCCATATCTTTCTCTCTTAATCTAATTAATATCTTAATGAATACAATGTAGTGTTTGTCTCCAAAAGTTTTTCTTAGAGAGAGAAGATGCTTTCTTTCAACGGGTGGTAGAAAACTACTCATCTCCCAAGAAAAGAGGGCCACCTTCTTAGAAATTCCAGGAGGAAAGTCGAACATTGGAAAATG